AATAACCCATCAGGGCTGCAGCGGAAGCGTAAGCCCAGGCACAGTCTACTAATTTGCTAATGGTTATCAGACAAGACCTGCTGCTATGGAAGTGAGCATTCGGACTTGGAGATGCTTCCTGAAAGTGACTAAGAGGGACTCGGAAGCCTAAGGCTAGGTGGAACTTTTAAGGGCATCCATTCCAGGATTCTATCTGATGGTTCAGACTCCTCTAAACACCCTTTTAATCCAGGCTTGAACTCATCTTGTGATGGGAAGTTCACTGCCTTGTTAGGAAGCTGCAGCTTCTTCGAAATTTCCTTTGTGTATATCAAGCTGAAAGCCACCTCCTGTTGCCGTTATCAATTGATATCAATCCAACAAAAACTTTCATATCGCATACACACATAAAAGATTTCCTATTTTTAATTTCTGGAAGGAATCAAGAATAATATGCACAGGATCACTGTTATTCTTATGTCTCCTTATAAGGAAATCCTGGCTTACTGTGTGCTGGTAGCCATGAGAGATTATTTTCTTAAAAAGTGATAAGAAAAATTGTGCTGTAGTTTGATAGGAATCTTATTTCAGAAGAGAAGCCCCATTTCTATCTTTGGGTACTTATTTTATGTATTTCCGTGTAATAATTGATGTATTAAATAAGTGCTTTGAGTGTCTTCTGTCTGCGGTGGACCATGCTAAGTGCCAGAGCAGACAGAGGCATCGATGCCTTATTACAGCACGTCATTTACACATCAATTCACTCCACAGATATTTACTGAGAATCTGCTGGGTGGCTGCCTCTGGTTCTTGCCCTCAGGGATTTTGCAATCCATTAAGGGAGAGAATATTTAATGTTGATCACACTGTATTGAAATTACTGTTTTTATGTAATATTTGCCATCTCTTTACTGGTCTTTCCTCTCCTTGAAGCAGGGGTTATGTGCTGTGCATTACTGAATTCCCACCACTGGCATTTGTAGGCGCGTGGTAAATATTGGTTCAATGAGTCAGTGGCTGAATACATAAAGGGAAAAAACACAGGCTTTGGCATTTGGTACTTTGAGCTAGATCCCGACTCAGCAGTTTACTAGCTCTGTGATTGGGGATAAGGACGTGAAGCTTTATAAAATGGGGACCTATTTCGCAGGGTGGTTATGAGGATTAAAAGAGATAATACATAGAGTGCCTAGCACAGTGCCTGGCATACAATTCTAAATAAAAAAAAGCATATTGCCTTCCTACTCTAGCTCCTAAGGCACCTTGTACATCTATACAGGAAAACTAAGTGAGAAGATATTTCCAGACTTCATTGGTTTGCTCGCGTTTTGAAATTGAAAACACAGCCCCATGGGGGTGGGGGCAACCCTGAGCCCTTTGGAAGGAGCCCATATCAGCTTTATCATGGTAAAGAGGAAACCGAGTTTCATTTGAGGAAGATGCAAAAGTTCTGGAGATGGATGGTGTTGATGGTTTTGGAACAATGTGAATGTACATAATGCCACTGAATTGTACACTTAAAAATTGTTAAAATGGTAAATTTTAGGTTATGTATATTTTACCACAATAAATTAATAAAAAACAACAAAAACTGTTGGCGTGATTTCCAGCTCTCCCAGCAGGTGAGCTGTTTCCAAGTTAAACCAGTCAGAGAAGCATTTCGTTCCCTCAGTCTGGATGTGGGTCAGCAAGCAGGATGCTGCAGGTTCCTTAAGAAGCCAAGGCCTGGCTGAAGCCTTCAGGTTGCTTGGTTGAAATTGAGTGATACGAGGCACTCATAGCTATTTTGCAAGTTATGCTTTCCTTTCCAGTTTTTGCCCCACCCCACCTGAGTCTGTGAACAACTCTTATTGACTCTACCACAAAATCCAATGTGACTCCATCTCTGTCTCTCCTCTCTCATGTCCAGTGTTTCCATCCTGGGCTGAGCCGCCATCACCTCTCACCTGGACTGCAATGGCTTTTTCAGTGGTCTCCCTACGCTGCTTCTCTTGCCATCCATTCTCTTCAGGACACTCCCCAGGACCTAAATCACTACCACTCACTACCCCCTAAACAAATGAAAAAAGAAATCCACTCTCCTGTTGAAAACTCTCTAGTGCTTCCTATCAGTGTTAAAATAAAACCCAAACTCCTTATCATGCACAGCCCTTTCAGATCTGTCCCTCTCCCCTGTCCAACCTCAGCTTGTCCCGGTCTCCCCTCACTCACATACTCCAGTCATGCTGGCCTTCTTTCTCTCCTCCAACCTGCCACATTCCTTCCCAGCTTGGGTCCTTTCTCTGGATGTCCTGCTGTCTGAAACACTCTTCCTCTGGGCTTTGCATAGCTGGCCCTTTCTGATCACACAGATCTCAACCCAAATGGCACCTCTTCAGAGAGGCCTTCCCTGAGCACCTGTGTGGCCGGTCCCTCTGTCCTGTCACCCTGTGTGCATTCTCTGCTCTCTGATGTTGTCTTACTTATGTAAGTGCTTATTTGTTGTTTGTCTCTTCCACCTAGAATGTGAGTGCCATGAGAAGTAGGGGCCTTGTTGTGTTACTCTCCCTGCATCCTCAGGGCTGGATCAGTGCCTGGCACGTAGAAGGCCCTGACAGAATATCTGTTGAGTGAATGAGTGAAAATCAGCACAGATGAGTTAATGCAGCAACGGAGTAGGACGTGTAGGAAGCCCCTTACATTTTTCCTGTCACCTTTTCGTATGCTAATCCCCATCCTTGACCTTCTCCCTTCCACTCGTTTCCAAGGGATTGTCCACTCTTTATATTATTCTCCAACCCAGTAACCTTGCCTGTCACAAGGATGCTTAAAGCCCTCTGCTTGTCCCAGCCCCAAATTCCTTCTACAGTCAATCACATGTGCATGAGAAGAAACAGTCTGAAACACAGCATGTGTCACAATCCCTCACTTCTGTACATTTAGACTGTAAATTTTAGAGGACATCATAGCTACAGGTGAAGCTGGCTGTGCACTGACGTGCACTGGTGTGTCTTACCTAGATGTCAGTCAGAACCAGAGCAGGCAGGATGAGGCCTTCCCAGGCCAGCAGCCAGGTCCCGATCCCCTGCGCTCCTGACCTACTCTCACATTCACCTTCAAGGCTCTGCATGAGGACTCCATGGAACAATTGGTCTTCCTGCTCTCTTGCTGGTTTCTGGAGCTCTACCCCTGTCCCTCAGCTTTCCAGTTGTACTACCCTCTTCCCCAGTGCTCAGACCCTGCCTGGGACACTTTATGTCCTTTTTATGTGGCTTGCTTTTCCCACTGAGTTATTGGAAATGGGGCTTCCTTTAAAATAAAATCCTACAGATTGGAGGGAAGATTACTATTTATTGAGTACTCACGGTGTAACCACGGCGTTAAGCCTTGTATCTGTATTATATCACTTAATTCCCATAACTCCCCTATGAAGAGGGGATCTCCATTTTCCCAGTGAGGAAGCTGTAGCCCAGAGAAGTTACATAACTTCCAGAGCCTGGCTGACTCTAAGACCCAAGGAGGTAGATGACGCCTGTAGAGCAGGTATGCTCAGGGGAGCAGAGCAGATGGGCTTGCCTGGGGCAGGGCAGCCACGTTGGGGGAAGCAGAAATAGGTGGAGGTGGAAAGGGGTCTGTTTTAAAAGGAACAGCCATTTTCAATTAGTAATAATGAGAGGCAGTGACAGCCTGTGCTTTTGGCGGGAAGAGCAAGTAATTCATGGCTTTTCGGGCTCAGTTTGACTCCTAGCTTTGTCCTCTGCGAGTTGCGAGCTCTGTGCAAGTTACTTAACCTCTGAGCTTTAGTTCCTTCACCCTTTAGAGCTTTGTGCCAAAGACTTAGGAGTAAATGGAATTTATGTATCTCGAATTCAGTTTTCCCTGAATTGTATAATTATTTCAGGTAAGTGAGATAGTAAATGAGGTACCTCAGTAATCACCTGACATATGTGAGGTGGGGTGAGGTGCTGGGCATGCCGGGATGTTCAGGGACGGGGACAGGCGTGGAGCTGGGAGCTAGGGACAGTCAGGGCCGGGGCAGTCGGACTCCACTCCAGGGTGAATTTCTGTGTCTGTTGCTCGTTGTCTGTAGGGACAGAATTACAGGAGATGGCTAACCCAGGAGGCCAGTCTGATGGGTGGGACACAACAGCCACCATTGAGGGGTTAGGAGTAGCGATTATGCCTGGTGGACAGCAGCATCATCATGCCGGCCACCCAGTCTTTTTACTCACAGCCAAACCCATAGGTGAGAGAAGGACACTGGCTAAGTGGTTGGAGGTTCAGGGGGAACAAGCGTGCCTACTAGGGAAACCAAGGCAGTGCCATTCATATGGACTAGGCCAGTTTGGTGGTGTCAGGGGCAGGCTGTGACTGAAAGGGCCCACCACTGCCCAGGGCTCACTGGATGCCTGGTGTGAGGCCCAAGCACAATGGCAGGCTCACCAGCAAGTACATGGAGCATTTGCTCTTCTTTCCTCCCTGCTGGGGCGGATCAAGGTACAGACAGGGTCACTCACTCTGGTGAAAATCTCCAGGGACTACGGCTGGGAGGAGCATGGAAGACCAGAGCTGACCTTCCTTACCCCGGTTCTGCCCTTTGGCCAGTGTGGTTTTGTGCTTTTAAAACATTTTATTTATTATTGAGTAAATGAACATCTAAGACAACTAGTGTAAAAAGACTCGCCTATTGGAAAAGTGGTGAAATCCATCCTTTAGTTTAGAGAGAGAACTTAGACTTGCTGAAATACTTTTGCTATCACAGCGCTGTGATTCTGCATCAGAATCACCTGCAGGACGTGTTAAATCTAATTGCTGGACCTCATCCCCAGAATTTCTGAATGAGTATAGAATGGAAATTGGCATTTCCAGCAAGTTCCCAGATAATGCTGCTGTGGCTGCTCCATGGTGTACTTTGAGAACCACTGTCATAGAGTAATCCATTTATTCACTGTGCTCTGAATGTAAATTATATATTTTTTGTCAAGTCCATCATTGCTGTAAATATCTTCTATTGATATCTTTGTCTATGTCTCCTTGAACAGGTATTTTGATGTTGGACTGCATAATTTCTTAATCAGGTAAGCCAATAATTTTTATTTTAGATATCATTGAATAGCTTGTCTATTATGGAAGACTGAGAGGGAAATAAAATCTTTGTTAAATATCTTGATAAATAATGGCAGTTTTATACCTGTCAAGAAAATACCACTAGCACTGTGTTGTTTTGTCCCTCCCAGAATCACACATGAGATTATCCTTTTTAAACAACCAAAGGAATTTACATTTAAAAGGGTTTATATCTTAAGTGATAGTTACCCAAGAGCTTGGACAAGTTTAATTCCAACTACTGAGTTGCTGAAAAGACAAATAGAAAAGTGACGAGTGCCAGCTTGCAATTATACATTAAAAAACCCACTTAATTTTCCCTCCATTGAATTTAAGCTATGTAAACTGAACTTATTGGTTGTTTTACAGTCATGAAGATACAACCTTGTTCATAATTGAAAGAGATTACAGATGGCAGTTTATATCCTAGTTTATTGGTATTTTTACCAGAGTTGGCTTATGGGGCATATTAATTCCAAATAGCTATTAAATCAAATAGAGTTTAAATGGAAATATACCAGAATGCTAGCAGTGTTGGTAACGATATGCATATTTTTCATGCTATCAACTTTGCTGTATTTTCTAGTTTTTTATATTGAGCATGTATTATTCTAATAGTGAAAAATGACCATTAAAAATGCCTGTCAAAAATATATGTGGGAAGCAATGGTGGTTGCTGAAAGACTATAAGCTAAAGATTACAGGGAAACCAGAAATCATGTAGAATGATTTTCTTTCTGCAAATATGTGGCTCTAAATGCTAATTAATTCTACGAATCTGCTAATAATCTGTAAATCACGTGTGATTTCTGGAGAAATGTTACAGTGGTTCAGGTCTCCACGATGCATGACCGTCTCCCTGTGGGTAAGATGCTCTCTAAGGGGAAATGTACATCATTGGCATCACCTTTATCCTAAACCCACAGCATTCCCTCTGTGCCGGATTGCTTATGGTGGTGTTGCAAGAAGGGCCATGCATACCTTGTCCTTTCTCCAGGGCCTCACCCAAGGCTGTGCAATGGAATCTCCTTGGTCCACTCCAGACCCAAGGAATACGGATTGTCCTGGCTTTCTCCAGGATATCACACAAAGATGGTAGTGTGTAAAGTGCTATCCTTGATGCATCAAGGGTAAATGCATTTTAGCAGGAGGGATAAAGGACCAGTGGTCATGGGAAAGGCAGGCCTGAGAATTCCCTATCTAAGCTGATCAGAAAAAGCTGTCTGGGTGTAGTTCAGGGAGTAGTTTGGATTTTTGAGTTGATGTCTTGGTGCTTTGTACTACTCCCATCCTGCTGTTAACATAATTTCGTGCAGTGGATGCAAGTTTGTACTTTTATTTTCTGTAGTAACTTTCTTGGAAGCAGGGAACATGTCTTCACCTTTCTATGATTAAATTCTATAGAATCAACCTTCAACAAACATTCATAGTAGGAGTGAATGAATGAGTGGATGAGTGAAATGAGGCAGAAAGGGCAAGGAGGGCGAGGATTAAGAAGAAGCTGTTTGGTTATTTATTCAACAAATAATTAAGCCTACCATGTGCCTCTTACTTGGATATGTCTGGGAATATACCATCATGAGAAAAACAGACATTTGATTTAAAGCTTTCCCTTAGCTTGTTGCTCGCCAAGCTTGTGGTTGGAGCTACTTGAAGTGAGGAGGAGGGGTGGTCTGCCTCCGGGACCCCTCCTCCCTTTCCTTCTTCTGGGCTCCAGTTGTGTCTCCTGTGTTGGGTGGGGAGGAGGGAAAGGGAGTGGTTAAGTGCCTCTAATGTAACCAGTGCTGGGTTCCCCTTGTCCTGGCAGAAGGCCCTTTTGGGTGGGTACTGGTAAGATGCTCTAACTAGTCACCTTAATCAGTGTTCTGTGAACCAAGCAGAACTGAGGGAGTAAGCCTTCCTTCTGCCCTGCCATCTCTCTGCAGTTTTCCTTTCCCTTGCTCTGGTAGAGACAGAGCAGATCAACATGTCCATTGCTTGTCCACTTGGGGAATGAGAGGTTAGTCTTCCCTTCTCACAGGCATGCCCAGTCTCTGTGATGAGGTCTCTTCATCTCTCCTCACATGACAGCCCTCCCCACTAAGCCAAGAACTTAAAGATTCCAAAGAGTCCCTTCCTCTTTCGTCTTCCCATCTTGGGGGTTGGGTGGGGTGGGGGATGGGAGAGGTGGTTGGTGGGAGCAGTCAGTTCTCCATCTCTTAGTAATCCCAGGATGGGGTGGCGGTATCACCCTTTTATTTGCAGCTTTCTTTAGAAAATGGGTCCTTTCTGCTCCCAGTTTGGAAGGTGAAGCCTGGTGGGGACTGAGCACTGTTTATCACTGGCGCATTAATGAGAACTGTGTCATCTGAACGATGACCCTGAAGCCAGGTAGAAGAGGGTAGGGCGCAGTGAAAGTGGGAGGTGAGAGAATGGCAGCCACAACTCTTGTAAGGAGTTAAGCTGTGAAGGGAGGAAAGAAAGACCAGGCAGCTGGTGTGGAGAGGGTGGTTTGAGTGGGGATTTTTTTTCTTTTAATTGGAAGGACTCTTGTATTTAGCCACCAGAAGGTCTTAAGTGCCCTTTAGACTTAGAGAAGGTGGTTTCAGTTGGGTAGAGAGGAGCGGAGTATGACTACCAGGGGAAGCAAAGGCAGTGAGCGAGGCCTTAGTAAACTGAGAGAGCAATGGCCTTTTCCTGTGAGTCTGTCACTAGAGAAAACCTTAGAGGGTTGGAGGAGCAAGGGGGTCATGCTTGAGGAATCCTTCTCTGTGATGGCCAAGAGAAGAAAATTTATTTCCCTTTGTAAAAGAGGAGATGTTGGAGAAATTGGCCTAGATTTTTTTTTAATTAACTATATTTATTGGCTCCAACAAGCTCTTAACGTGTACTCTGGTTTGTCAGACTGTATTGAATGCTTAGTGTTTTGCATAAAAGAAGTTGCAACATGCCTGAAGTTAATCAGCTGCATCTTTTACATTGATGGAAGTAATATAGACTTCTCTGGAATGACATAAATTTCCACAAAGCCCAGGGCCCTATCTGTGATCTCAGTCTAGGCAACTGCAAGGAGGGACAAGTTTCCTTTTAAGTTGTTGGAGTGTTTCACTGAGCTATAGGGCAGGAAGGAGCTGTCACGTTTGATGAAATATGAGCATTTTTGGTATTGGCGTTTTATGATGACTGTGGGAAAATTCAGTGAGCTTGATCCTTGCGCATCTCATAGAAATCAAAGGAAAGATTTTCAGGAAACAGTAATTGCAATTCACTTAAGAATAGCCTCAGAAGAAGACTAGTGGCTGGAGTTCTTAATGTGATGCTACAAAAGAAAAAGGAAAAAAGTTACTAATCTGGGAAAAGAGATTAAAGAAGAAAACAGCTCTGTTTCATTTTAGATAATAGGCTGGCTTGTTTAAATTTAGCTTAGTTTAGTTTTGGCAAGAAAGTGAAAATGATTGGTGATACTTGCTATGATTCTTGCTGACTAAGGCATTTTTCATTTTACCTGGAATATAGCCGGCCCCACCCCTTTTATGAAAGTATAATGTAATTGCTTTGTACCTTCCTGTCTGCCCCCTTTTAAGTTCCTCGGGCTGGGAATAGCTTTAAGTGATACAGGATGCCATCATACCTTTTTTTTTTTTTTTTGGTGAGGAAGATTGGCCCTGAGCTAACATCTGTTGCCAATCTTCCTCTATTTTGTATGTGGGATGCCGCCACAGCATGGCTTGAGGAGCGGTGTGTAGCTCTGTGCCTGGGATCCAAACCCGCGAACCCTGGGCCGCTGAAGCGGAGCGCGCAAACATAACCACTACACCACCAGGCCGGCCCCACCATCATGACTTTTAAAAGAAAACCTGGAGTCATCCCTCTTCCATGTCTGAAAGATTAAATTTGTCAGGTTTTTTTTTTTTTTTTTGCAATTTTTCCATTGTTCTTCTGCTTATACATTTAAAAATTGAAAAAATATTCACCTGTGTTTTCTTCTTTTCTATGTTGTTTACATTTAGCTATTTAATCCATTTCAAATACATATTTCAAATAAGGATCTGACTTTTTGTTTTCTAAGCAGCAAAATATATTTTCTTTATTGTCACTTTCCATTTTTATTCTAAATTGTGTGAGTGCATCAGAGCCGCTGCTTTTGTCCTAAGGAGAATATCTTGATATCCTGTCAGGATAGCAGAAATGCAAAGTGTGGAGAGCATGCCGTTGATATTTCTTAGGCAAATAGTAAAAGGCAGTGAGCCTCTGGCAAGGCCCTAAAGCTCTTTGAGAAGATCCCTGGAGTTAATATGGTCATTAGAAGATAAATTCCTTTCCATAAGTAAACAGATTCTGCTTATAGAATGGCGTTCAGTATAGTGCAGATTCAATCTTATGCAATGCTAACATTTGTATGAAACAGCACGTGCCCTTTTTTTTTTTTAAAGATTTTATTTATTTATTTTTTTACCCCCAAAGCCCCAGTAGATAGTTGTATGTCATAGCTGCACATCCTTCTAGTTGCTGTATGTGGGACGCGGCCTCAGCATGGCCGGAGGAGCAGTGCATCAGTGCGCGCCCGGGATCCGAACCCAGGGCGGCCAGCAGAGGAGCGCGTGCACTTAACCGCTAAGCCACGGGGCCGGCCCCGAGCACGTGCCCTTTTGAAACACGATTTTGTTCTGGGTAGAGAGAAGGTAGAATGAGACAGCTGTTCATTTCTGGTAGCATCTTTTGTTCTTCTTCTGGAGGTTGATCCTGTGATTCCACCAGGGTCTGGAGTGTCTTTGAATTGCCAGAGAGTAGTGAATTTCAGTAATGTGTGAATTAATGGTTCAATGAATTCTGAAATGAGCAAAACTCTCTTTGGCTTTCCCTTTGTGACACTCTATACCTGACCCATTCATAAAACTAGCCCTACAGGAGAATAGAAGTATTGTTTGGGCTAAAAAAATGTTGGTGTTTTGAGCTTCATGAATCATAGGGTAGCTTTTGCCCTTCTTTATTT